AAGTTCTCGAAATCAGGTAGAAATCTTCGACTGCTGATGCCTACCAGAGAAATGTCAATTTCCACCATATAATCTTTTACGGTAAGATTGAAAGAAGCGACCAAGAAATGCATCGAAATGCTTTTAGAAATGGATTCGTAACAGCTTAGATTTAAAAAATCGCGCAAATTTCTTTTTTAGAGATGAACCGCAGAGATGCAATTTAAGTTCAATTTAAGAAATCTTTAATATGTTTAAAGATTTCTAAATTTTGAATGATGTGTTAAAAAATTTCATGTGCTAAAATATGCTGAAAAATTTCAATCGTTTCTTCGAAATGAGGCTGGGAGCTGGGTGATATGAACACAAGCTATGCGATCACCATAATGCTTTCATTGCATGAAAGATTTAAATCAAATATTGAGCTGTCATCAAGTGTCAATAGTCGCGACACTGAAGCGCTCCATTTATCATAAAATTTTAATTACAAGATTTTTCGATTGGAATACTGAAGTTCAAAAAACATAAATATCAATACGTATTATTGCATATAATTGTCGTCGTCTGACAGAGGTAATAACATAATAGGTGCAACGTGAGTAACAAGTGCACAACCAAAGAAACTGCGGTGCGGTGTGTGATAAAGCGTGTATTAACAGTGCAACAGTATGTTCGCAAAAGATATAAAAGAAGGCAAAAGAAATGGAGAAGATAAAAAGACATAAAAGGTATACTGTGTAAAGCAGCAAATCTGTTCGATGTAAGAAGCACGTGAGCAACATTTAACTATCACACTCAGCTTACGGCAAATTACGGCAGCGTACAAATTCACATACATCCGTGCCGCGGAAACTCCGAAAGCGAGAAATTTTGAACTTTGCAACCCAATTAATATAACGTTAAAATAACGTCACATGCACAGGCGTAATCAAATCGTCTCCGAAATAATTTCTCAGAGTCTCTTAGAAGCGAAAAAGAATCTCGATGTATCCCTAATAAAATTAGGTGAAATATCATCTTGCTCTTGATATGAAATTAATTATGAAATTAATATAAAATTAAATTATTGCTTATCGTACTTATTATTACTTTTCTTTCTTGTACTATCTCGATTGTGAATTACGTCATTGAGTATTACGTGTTATAATTTTGTTCCCAAGACATAAATAATAAATTCTATACAAATTTAAAGTAACAAAAGATAAAATAGATAATAAAAAGCGAAATAGAAATATAGAGTATCCAAAGGAAATTATTTGACTTGCACATTGTATTTGAAATTTATTCATATATTCGGAACTCCAAGATAATATTTCATCTGTCTTTGGTTACAAACAAATGCAACGAACGAAGCAAGGTGTACTTACCCATGACGGCGGCCGCCTCGCTACCCTCCTCATTAACTTCGATGAAAGCTTTTTGGACGACTTTGTCGATCTTTAACTGTATATCCGAAATGCCACCAAATTCAGCGCTGTCGCTGAACGGTTTATCGAGACCCATCTATAACAAGTAGGATACGAGTAAGATACGATGTCGCATTTATATTGCTTAATTATCGACGAAACATTGCGGCGTACCTTCTGACACAACGTATCTCCAAAATTCAATTTGGACTCGGTCTTGAACTTGGGCAGGAACACTCGGACCACGCGTTCGTACGTTTGGGCGAGGCGGGTGTTACATTCCGCGCTAACTTCCCCGAGTTTGTCGATCAGCGCAGCTAGACCGTCAATTTTATTGGGTAGGATGATCACCATGCTGACCTCTTTATTCTGCGACAATAAAGATTAATTCCATAAAGAGAAATGATTCGTAAAGGCCCGAAATACACAATTGTGATGAAAAGCAGCAAAATATCTCAAACGTTTGATTAGATTTCTTTCGAAAATTTGAGAAAGCAACATACCGCGTACGGCAGCTCGATGCATTTAGCGTCGTATTCCGGCAATTCGGCGTACTTGTAGTTGTCCTTTCTGTACATAGTAGGAACTTTTTTTACGGTGTTGGCGTCAATGTGGAATGGACGGTCCGTGGTAGCCTTAGGATCAAACTCGTGGGCCCATTTGCCCTTGAAGTACACCGCGTTTGCGAGTATCAGTACAGTAAAAGGATCCACGTCGTCTACAATAAATAATAAAAGTTAGCATGAACATTATTCTTAATTCGGTTCAGTAAATCAGTAAATTTTTATATAACTATAATATGAAAAAAAAAAATATATATATATACACGAATATATTATCCACAGAAAGCGAAGGTATCTAGGCGTTTTATTACTTTGTTCTTCGAATTTAATTGTTTTATGTTATCTGTTTAATTTATTTGTGCAAAATAAAAAATCACATTTTTGGTCGGCATAGAATTACATAGTGAACGCGTATGTATGAATATACGTAAATCGTTCTTTACCGGGACTAATAATGCTGTCGATGCGATTGTTGGTTTTCTCCTTGCACCAGGTATTAACGATGTTCGCGGCTTTGTCGCCTTTAGCGAAGTCTACCGACTGAATGTCGGAACGATAGTACGTCTCAAGATCCTGTTTGTACTCAGGTTTTACTGGGAAAATTTTGCCGATAAATATCTTGTTAGCGAGCTTCAAAGTGACATTCTCAACATTCTGAAAGGATAACATTTCATCTTCGATTAGTACTATCCTACGTGTGTCATAAAATATACCACAAAATATAATTAAAACTAATAATTATATATACGGAATATTTGTATTCTCTCCATAAATATATATTCTATCATATTTTATAAATAATACTTTATAATTCTCTGTAAATTTGATAGTCCAAAAAGTAATATTTACATTCTATAAATATTATTCTACATTTTATCAAGTTCTGAAGATTTACGTTCTGCAAATGGCTTATTGTGCAAATATTACGTTTCACAATATATTGCAGTTTGATAATTACATTCAATTTATCGATGAGATTCTGGTAACCTTCCCGAGTCTGTGATTTCTTAGCTGGAAGCTTGAGAACATCTTTAAACTGTGCCTCGGTATCTCCGACAGCGCCGTCAGCAGCCATGCTCAGAACGATGTTGGCGCTCAGGGGAGAGCATATCAAATTGCCTGGTGCTTCTTTTGCAACATTCTGAAAAACGGACATTTTCAAATTAACTATACGAAAGCTTCATTCATTACGAATATCAGTATATCAGAAAATAATGAAATTGATTTGAGAATTAGGTGTTTCTTTTTTATTATTTTATTGCCGGCGTCAAGTCACTGATATGGTACTATGTATAATAGTACCTAAGTTAAGATTAGTCGTATAGATTTTGCTAAAGCTGTTTTCTCATAATTGTTGATATATAATATGATATTACATTAATAAATAATACGAGAGTATACAATTGTATGCAATATCAGAGTCTAATAGAACTTCAAGAATATTTAAATTCAATTAACATACCTTGACTAAGTTGGTAGAGAACAAATGAGCACCCTGAGAAACAGACTGAATGGCCAAATTATTTCCAGTTGGTGTGGCCATGGTTGATGCAAACAGGCAAAAAATGCCAAGAAAGTTCTTTGTACTGTAATAACAATAAGATTTAATATTAAATATATTCATCGCAAAATTCAGTATAGCCATCAATAATAGTCAAGACGCATAATAAAAAAACAAAAGTTACAAAGCTATTTCTACTGGATAAATAATTCTAATATGACATAAAGTTTTAAATACTTTTACGTTTATACGATCCAAAATAAAATAAACAATATCTCTTTACTAATCTGATATTTTAATACAATAATAATACCGCGTTGTTAAATAAAATATAACGCCGCGGAAAGAATCATCGCTTTGAGCGTTATAGGATTAATTACTGACGAAAATTGATGAACACGTGCGCTCGAAGGTCGCACATAAATCAAAATGAGGTGTCGGACATGTCGTCCAAGGTAAACACGTGTTCGTTAAAAATCTTCTACATTCACATATTCACAAATTGTGTACTTGCACAATATTTGAGCCTTTCAAAAAGCGATATAAAGATTGGAACGATCCGAAGGCCAATAACAGTGTTAGGTTTTTATACAAGTAGCGAAACGACGTTTTATGATCAACGGGTTTATCGACAGATAAATTTACTCGAGAATATGAAATTAAAAAATTGTACTTAGGTATTGTAAGGATGTCCGAACAAATCGAAGAGATAACTCTTGGGTATATATATATTTAACGAACTTTCGTATAATATGTCTTTCGGAACGAACGTACCTGGCGACTGGCTACTGGCGATTCTGGCGAAGCTCTGACTCGACTCGACTCGAATCAACACTCAACAAGACTGAACTAGCACGAGTAGCACGTGCTTCGTGCTTCACGTGCTTGCACTGGCTTGCACGGACCTGCACGACGACCGTCTCTAGTTGAAGCGCGCCCTGCGCGCCTAGCGCCACAAGGCCATCAAGATCCCTAGTTACCATCGGAGCGGCCGAATGTGATTGGCCGGATTTGAGGGCTCGACTCGCGAGCCAATCGCGTCTCAGCCGACTGTGCGTTTGCGGCGGTGGCAGCGCGGCGCGGCGGCGCGCTGGCATGAGTGAAAGAACACATACAATAGTAATATTTTAATCAATTTTAATACTTCACACGTGACAAGCATTAACACATTAAGGCGTAGTGCGTTAACTACAACTCAAATGAAACACAGTACAAGTTACAAACAAAGCCGTTTATGTTTTGGGCAATACGAAAAGTGCATGCCAAAGGTGATATCGTATTGATAAGTAGATTGATCTTCGATCTCGTATAACATTTGAAGGTTCGTCTCTCTTTTTTTCCTTTATACAAGACCTTCACATATCAGAATCGTAATTCTGTCATTTGCAACATCTCAAATCTTACACCGCTATTTACAGTATAGGAAATTGTTTTTCATAATCATATAACATCCGTATAAAATTAATTATCTTTCTGAGACGATTATTGCGGTTGCATTCTTAAACATTAAATGAATGTTTAAGGGAATATATCTGAGGTAACAGAAATGAACATAATGATGATATTATGTGAGAGATCGCGAAAAAGTGCATTGAATTATTATAAATTATAATTATTATTATAATTATTATAGAATCCTTTATATTCTTTAAAGGATGTAGTTCAAGATTACATCATTTATATTTTACACAAAACTCCGTTACGTACGTGATTATTGCATGCTTGGGTTTTAAAGCATTAAGAAGAGCGAATTTTAATGAGCTTTTATTAATTCTCTGAGAAAATATTGAAATACAAATTCGAAAAGTCCAAGAGTGGGATGATCACGACGCTTATTACGAATTTCAACGTAACTCTTTTCGCGTCAGGATGCAAGAAACGTTAAACGAAACATTGCATCGCCAACTACCGCAACCATTCATAAATTTATCGATTATTTCAGGCCGTTGATTCGATCTCCAAATTATCGGACTAATTCAATTTGGTGACGAATCTGATGAACAGCGTTATATAAGATTCTTCTTGCGGTTTCGAGTTAATGACACCATAGACGAATGGACGATCGATATGAAACTCCTCGGGATCCTGGGTGGGGACAAGAATTGAATAATTCACAATCTCGACTCCTGAAACAAATCACCGATTCCCGTAAGACTTATATATTTTCCACTTTATTTTTCCGACATGTTTTGCTCCGAGCCTCGTGTTTTAAGCATGCTTCTGTCTCCTGCTGTATGTGATAGAACGCGCGAAGTAAATTGCTGTCTCATGCTGCATGCTTTATTTTATTTGTATAAAGTTAGTTACTTTATAAAGAGAGTTGAACAGACGGAGGGACTCTTTGTAGAAAATTAAAGAATTATACGGAGGACACACTACAGGATCATGCTGAAACGTGTGCGACAATCAGGACAATTCATTGCTTTAATATTATTTAATTTTGTTCGGTACCGCTTGAGTTTTTATTTCCGTCTCATATTATTTTGTCTTTTACGACAGTGTCATTGCTTAAACTATAGTCGTCGCACAAATCGCATGTTTTTTTATTCATAAATATTTGACAATTTTGTAAACGCGCTTTCTCCATCTAGAAGGAGTAATCACTCAGAAATATACTATATTCAAAAATTAAATTGTATATTACATGTGGTTGAATAATTAGAGGAAAATAACATGGCTCGAGTCAGGCATTACTGTTATTTAAATATTATCACTGGCCGCATTCAGGAAAGACAACTGTTGAGTGAGCGGTCAGTGATTCTTTAATATGATTGGTTCTTACCTTTGGTTCTTCTCCGGATCTAAGTGTAAGAACCAATCATGATGAGCGCTCACTCAACAGTTGTGTTGCCTGAACGCGGCCACTCACAATACATACCCCAAAAGTGCTTTTTTATTTATTAGATTTGTACCGCGAGCTTCATATTTTTCAAATAAACACCACTTTAAACTGCACCTGCTATTTATTATTAAACAGTAGGTTCGATAACATGTCCAATGAACAGATTTACAACGTTATTTTCGGTTTCAAGGTTTGACTTGACGATGCTGTAGAGGAATGGACGATTCACTTTCAATTCCAGCGGAACTGCGGGGATGGCAATAGAAACTGGCATTATTCTGATTACTGAAACAATCATTCATTTATGCTGTAAAATCTTCCGTCATCGATTTGGCTCCAACACGTAATGTATTCACGAAGTCCTGCTGCTTCACATGCAACATTGCTACATGTATGTAACTACATCATGCGTCGATTATGTCTGATAATGACAACGAGACGTCAAGATGGACCTGTGTTATATCGGCGTGAAATGCAATTACTTTTGTAATTAATTCGATGAAGGTAATTTACTTTCGGTAGAAGACTCTCGAATATATTCGGACCTAAAAATGACGGCACACAAATTGTTAGTCGACTCATTTTAAACCCCCAGGATGTCTAGCGGTCATGGAAACCTGGAAGATTTCCATGACCACTATACACTTTAGATAAAAAGGGACAAAAAATGTCATGGAAAGGTAAAGGAATTTTGTGACTTTTCTGGAATTTCGTTGAATTCTTAAAAAATGACATTTTCTGTCCTTTTTTTTTCTAAAGAAGTGTATAGCGATCATGGAAATCTTCCAGGTTTCCATGACCGCTACGGCTAGACACCCTCAACTCCCTTTAAACAACAATTTCACGCGAAATTATACTGGAATGTAAGAATATTGCACATCATCGTTCGTATATATTAATAATAAAAATAAACGACGCAATGTACATCAACTGTTAATAGTGTTTACAGTGGACTGCATTTGCTACGAAGCAAATAGCGAGGCCGCTTCCCCTTGCTGATTTCTCGCCTCTTCAAATTTCAGGTTGAACGCATTGTCCAAAGAAAAGTGGGACTATATCAAAGGAATTTGTTGCTGTATTTGCGACATGTTTGACGATGCTATACGCGAATGGACGATCTATCAAAAAGTTATCGCCGGTCCATATCCGTGCGGATCGCTGATAGGTGATAACTGAAACAAATCGTTGGACAACGCGATGTAATACTTGCTGGCTTGATCGTTGATGCATTCGTCTTATTGTTAGCCATAACACGATTTTAGTCACAAAGCGATTTGTTTCACAAACACTCGTTTACATGCAGCATTAATAAATTTCAACCTTACAATACTAGCAATTCGTAAGTAATATAAATATTTTTTAGATCTTTTTTTTT